GACACCACAGAAACCAAGCTTGGGCTACCTGTGGTAACAGTGGTAATAAAGTCGATCCCAGTTATAATTTCACTAAATCTGTTAATAGTCTCTCAGTAATYTAAATATATAATATTCATGTCGCGATTGGCTAGACCAGTTAGATCTATAGTCGTAAGTAAGTTTGCAAGTAAACAGGTTTACTGGTACCAAAATGATACAGAGAACTATGATAGCAAATACCATAACAGTTATAATTGGAAAATCAAGCAYTTTTTTATTGCAATAATTTTCAAATCCTAATCACAAATTAAAAAACATCCTGCATCCAGTTCCTTAGTTTGGCAACAGAAGTGCTTGAATAAGCCAAGAAAATGTAGGTTATGATATTGTATTAAATGTTTCATGGATCCTCATGCCATGGATTGMCATGGATAGATCCCAGGGGGTGGGGTGTAGGGCTCKGCTCCTATATATAGAAGGGTGGGGAGGCTCATCGGAAATCTTGAAAATAGGTACCCGTACCCGGATCTTGTCCAGGTGGGCGTGGCAAGTAATGATTTGCTAGCCCTGAAAGGTACATATTATCTATAATATTGATTTAAGTGACAGAAGTCAGATAGTGAGCCRAAAATGAATATCCTGAATTACAACTGGCATTCCAACTGTCATCATATAATCTCAGGTATCTTATTGCCTCACAAACACCCTAAGAGGTAGTCGTACTGGCTTACTCTTTAAGGTACGATGAGCATCCCCACCCTTATCCAATCCCCGGGGGCTATATTCATAAGATCTATAAGCCTCAAGATTCATTATTCTAGACTATAAATTTTGATCAACAAAAAAATCGATTTCCATAATTCTGTCCAAAGCTTTCTTCACAAAACACAGCATTCTGTAAATTATTTTGTCCCAAAAGAACAAGCACACCTGTCACACCTGCCAAATACAAGGACAAAGAAGAGTGGCCTGCATTTTAAGATGCTGGCTTTCCTATGGAAGCCCAATTTATTACTAATCCTTATTAAATGTGGTGACAAATACAGCATTAAGGGCCAGTTTCCAATTTGGCCAATAATTTGGCCAACTAAAAGTTTTTATTTTAAAMAAATTCCTGAATTTTGTCTTTTCTCTGATATTCAAGTCTAAAATTTCACATGGCATATACACTTTTTATATATTTTGTCATTCATGTYCAATTAAATAACGGTTAGTCTAATTAATGTTTTTTTTTAAATTAAGAAATAAATAATGCTTGCTGTGCTGTGTGCATTCATCAGATATTATAAATTTATTTGGGAATAGGCAGAACATGTCCAGAAGTACCTGTTGAGAAGCACTCCATATATATATGCATGCATGTTTCTCCCCTAACACTTCTCTTGTGTTCTGCCAATCACAACTGTGTGCTTTTTATAATTAACTGAACAGTACAACACAGACTAATATTTTCTATTTCTTCATACATTAAAGTGCCACTAACACCTTGGAATTATAAACCTTAATATCTTCAAGATGCATCAATCAAATCATATAAAATAATTTACCATTCAACTATTCATCACTTCAAGTAGAATCAATACTGAAAATATTGTTAGGGGTTATAGGCACTTTAACAAATTTAATGAACATCCAAACTTAAATGTCAAATGGGTGCATTATATATCCCTAGTTTTTTGGTAKGATTCTATATAATCTACAGAAAATAGAGTGAATTAAGTCTTTACAACTGTTGAATATTGATGTAACCAAAATAAGATATTAAGTTATTTACTATTTTAGTTGAAAATTCATGTTCCAATGGTCTGAAAATCAGGGGAGAAAACAAAGTAAACCTCTGGATTTGCATGACCATTAGTTTAATGATTGGGGTGTACTTAAGGATACACCAACTAAATAGGTACATGTATTTACGGTAGTTAAAGTAAGATAAATTTATCTAACTATTCAACAGTGTGACTAAATTACTCGGACAGCATTCTCAAGACTGGGTGCATTCCGTTGTGCATGCAAATCCATATCTTCTCTTCTTGCTATTTGTGCTGCATGGAAAAATTTAAAATTAAATCCATAATTTAAAAATTGTCAATTAAATAATTATTAGCTAGTGCATACATGATACCTATTAGTAATTCTTTTCAACCCTCTTTTTTTGGGCTCCAAAATGAATCATTGTGATCAATTAAGGGGAAAAAAGAAGGTTTATGACAATTTTCTCTAAAAAGGTTCCAGATCTAGAGGGATCATTAGCCTAAAGTTGAACATGCATGATYATTAATATCTATCAAACATAACTTCATCCTTTCTGAGGCTTGCATATTTTGACTCACGAGTACCTGATCATTTTAAAGAAATAAAAGATTAAATGTGTTTACCTTCATTAGCTCGTTTGCATTTTTTGTAATATTTAATGATGATTACCACAATGAGCATGAGTAGAACCAAACTGCAAGTTGTACCCAAAATTGTACCCAAAATTAATTTATCTGTTGAAATAGACATTGCAAGGTTTAATTTTGAGTGAAACTTTCTTAGAATAATAACATAGTTTACATGCATACATAATACACAATGCTATTACAGTCAAAACAGCTCAAGCTTTAATTTTTTATTGTACAATATATAGCAGATTGTTCTRATACCAAAGGTGAATATAGAGAAATCTAGCCAAAGGAAGTTCTGGGATGGGAGCTACAGCAGATCAAATGTCTCTAGGTGAGCACCAARAACATAAAGGCAAGTCACCTTAATTAATTGCAAGTCACCTTAAATAATCTGCATGGCTGCTCATGCAGCAGGGAGCCAATCAATGATAGTCGATCATTAGCTGGCAATCCAGACGTGTAAATATATCTAACTCTATTCAAGAGATTTAATTCCCATGATAAGCCAATTAAATCATGTTTGAATAATTACAGTCAAGTTTTATAATCATATTTATATTCAGGATGATCATGATCAAATAATAAACAACTATTGTGTAGTTTCAGAAAATACCCATACCCCACCATGGAGGAAATTTTTTTTGACCCCGTCCTCTCTGGAATTTCAGTGAATACGATAAAATTAAGACGATTTCTGAGATGATGCTAGAGCGCTGTCAAAAATATCGCATGCTCAGATTTGAAAACGAGGCATTTTCAGGGAAGATCTTCCGCTCGTGCGCTATAGAAAACACATACAAAAACTTGGGAATTATAATTCTAATAAAGGAATTAATACATGTATTTTGAAGTTTCTTTTAGTTGAGGAGCTGGATAATAACTTTTTRAAAAAATAYAGCTCATTTCAGATAAAATCTTTTCTTCAAGGGTTGTAGAAATCGCCTATAACTCTATGCTTTCCAATGGTTTTGTTATCACACTGCCCRAAAATGCCTCGTTTTTATGTCTCTGCCTGCAATATTTATGAAAGCGCTTGCGCATCTCCAAAATCATCTATAAATTATAGATTGCAATTAGTTATAGAATAAAAATTAGCTACTTGCTTGCAATGAATGCTATGGTAGTAGCGATGTAAAATGGGCAAATTATCGGTCAAAAACTATTTTCCACAAAAAAAAAGATTTGTTTGTCACCCCAGTACATCTCCTGTGCAACCTAGCCCTACAGCTGTACTTTCAAAATGGCTCAGATGGTGGCTGTTACCATGAAACAGCCAAAAAAGTGACTTTAAAGCCATTTGCCTCTCTCTTCTGTCATCTTCTATTAAAAAAAGTGACTTTCTTTTCATATGGACATGCATAGTCCACACCTCTTGAATTTCCAATTTCCTCCATGGTGGAGTATGGATGTTTTCTGGAACTATGCAAATGAGATTGATCATGAAGCCTGTGGCTTTGGCAGATTATAACACAGCCTTAATGGTCTCAATAATTTATGATATAATTTATGATATCATACAAAAACCAAATTCAATGACTGCAGTTTTATCATACATTTTGTAAACTTAGGATAAAGATTTCATTCTGCTTTCGAAAAAAATAGCAACTGTAAATTTCAATTTTGCATTGTGACCTTGAGTGATTTTGACATGATATATGTATTATCTGCAGAAAATCCTAGCCTACAGATAATACAATTATCATGTCAAATGCACCTGATATATCAGGGACTGGCTGAGGGCTATCCACTTGCCAATATTGATCAGAAGCGAGATATYGAGTAAAATGTAAAATAATCAATACCAGTGTCAAGCTGATTATTTCTGATGGTAATGAATTGAATCCCAAAACTTGATAAATTATTTAATTTCTCTAAAATGGTTAATAAAATAATAACATTATCCTTGCCTTGCTTGGGTGGGCCACCATGGGTCGTTGGACCATGGGTTGTTGGTCCATGAGTTTCCACGGCTAATAATATAATAAATAAAAGCTAAAGGTGAAAATAAAATTGGAAAGATTTAAATAAATGATAATTTTAAAAAAATTTGAGGTCAAGATAGTGTCTCAACGATACAAAATAGTAAAAAAGTCCATTAAAAATGCACTAGAACATTTTTTTGTCTGCACCTTTGTTTTCCCATATATTTATACTTTGTTTATTTATAATGGTAATTGAACCCAGTGTGGTGCAATATTGGACTGAAATCAAAGGAGTGATTACAAAATTGCAAACCATATCAGAGAAGTGATACGATATCACTTCATGGTAAATGCTGGAAACTGTGAGTTTTGTTATAATGAATTTGACCCTAAATGTGAAATTGAATGAACCAATTCCAATTAAGGAACAGGTTTAAAATTAACATGACTTTGCTGCTTAAAACTTTGGCTTATTTAAAATTTCAGTGCCCCTCACATTTGCTTCGATCTGTTCTATTCTCATTCCATCCTTGTACAATTAAAGCTTATATAAAATCTACATTTTAATTAATACTTATTCACCTACATACAGGGGAGAGTAAAAAACATGGACCCCTTATCTATGGACCACCTTTCGTGGACCACCATAAAAACAACATTGAAAACAGTGATAAAGACATTACCGATGATAAAGAAAGGAAAATATTTGACTAGCTTAGGCTTACAATATTTATTAAAAACTGATCGAAAACAAATGTATAAATAGATTTTTAGGTTCAACATAGTTTATACTTTCAAACTTACGATTTCTCTAAATTATATCTTCTGCTAATATRACACATTTTCATCCTTTCAACATCTTCTGCAAGTACACCAAATTTGCTTTCATCCAATATAAAATCGATAGTTGAAAATACGACTTGCTTCAGTGCCACCATTTTGTATATTTTGTATAGCAGGAGATATATTTGGTATATTAGCAATGTCTTTATCACTGTWTTCAATGTTGTTTTTATGGTGGTCCACGCACATGGTCCACAAAGGTGGTCCATGGACCAGGGGTCCATGCTTTGTACCCTCCCTACATATAGTACCTTCAATGAGACGACGAGCTGTTAGGTTATTGCATTTTGCAGTTAGTACACCATTGTCAAACTGCACTAGGGCTAGGAAGGTAGAACCAATATCCACCTTAGTCACATTCAACAGGTCGAACCACATATTGCCGGTAGTAAGATTTCCAATGAATTTCAGTCTTTGATATATCTCATAGTGTTCTTGTTGTCCCAAGAAATGGGTTCCCTTATCAGATGTGGTTAGCAGAGGTACAAAGCCTATTGGGCACAGCCCACTTGAATAGTTGGTTTGGCTAGCTGGTTGCATGCAAAGTCTCACTTTGCTAACTTTTCCATCAAAACTCCTCCAATGGAGAGAAGCATTTGCTTCAGGGGAAGTACTAATATCTTCAGTCAAAGGAAAAGGATCGCAGTTGTCATTGCCTATACCATATACTGAAGTTTAAGCATAGTAAAGAAGAGTTAAATCTCCATTTTTCTCATACAAAAACAAACAAACAAAACTGACAAAAGCAAAAAAATAGACAGAAGCAGAATGCCAATTAAGTTAGTTCTGGACCTGGTTCTAAGTTCTTCAGGTGTTCACAAATTTTATGAATTTCTTAAGGGGTAGAGAGCAGTAGCAGCTTAAACTCTTTACAGGGGCTTACAAATTTGATATCTGTCATGTTCTCTAATGGTTGAGGACTTTAAATCTTCAGGGGGTATAAAGTAAAAATAAGGATTCTTTAGGGGTTATTCTAATACCCATTTCTTCAGGGGTCTGGTAGTACTTTGCTTTAAAAATCTTATCCTCAACAGGGGGAGTGCAGATATTAAATGGAATAGCCCATYAAAGTGTTTATCCGAGCCACGTTACGGTCCAACCATTTGCAGACAGACAAACAAAGAACTCAAATATTATATCAAAATGAAGAAAAATAAAGAGAGATATAAAGGATATCGCATAAAGGTCATGATCAATTTCTGACCGGTATAACATAGGTCGAAACCCTAAGAAGGGGAATAAAACTTCTGCTCACAAGGTAGTTCCATCATATTAGGTATTAATTTGGTACTGGGAATTAGAAATGGACTACAAAATAAACGAAATGGAATTAGAAATGGACTACAAAATAAACGAAATGGAATTAGAAATGGACTACAAAACAACGACCTCAACAACACAATAAATAAGATACTTTAAGTATTGAAAGAATACTTTACCTCCAGCAGCAAAAATCCCGCAAAAACATACTGAAGTAAAAAAGTCAAACATTCTCTGTATATATAGGAACGTGGGTTCTGGACTAACTTAGACTGAGACTGTATAGTCCAGCAKATAAGTGAATATTTTTGAGTGAATTGTGTGTTTTGCATGAAACCACAGGCAGCCCAAACAAGGTTCCTGTGTATGGTGCAAAATTTCGGTCAGATCTATACACAGCGGACAAAAGCAYCAAAATTGGCATAAATGTAGATTAGAGTATGGTAATCAATATTAGGACCGGTGCCCATTTCAATCTCTTYAGGATTCCATATTAATTGGATTTTAATTTTCTGAAAAAAGTCAGTTATGGGCTCCCTGTGGTCAATATCTTAAAAATATGGTTTTTTAAAGAAATATAACCGATGTAATGTCTCTAGAATGCACTATTGCAGTATATTAAAAGAGCGGATTTCGAAAAAAACCACTAAACGGCCTCAAATCGCGCTGAAACGTCGTCAGAAGACTGAACAAAGTAAAAGCAACGACTGCAGCAAGTTTTGAGGCAAATTGTTGAGTGAAACATTTTATTGTCATAACTTTATCATAACTCCCATACATTCCCTTATAAACCATACACAGGAACCTTGTTTGGGCTGCCTGTGATGAAACTTGGTACAAAGTTACAACCTCGTACCCAGGGCCCTCTCGGCCCGACTTCAAAACAAAATGGCGGTCGTCGGGCAACCTCGTCCCCAGGGCCCTCTCGGCCCGACTCCAAAACAAAATGGCGTTTGGAGTCGGGCCGAGAGGGCCCTGGGAACGAGGTTGGTCGTCGGGGAGAAGAGAGGCCATCCCATAATTTTTCTTATAAAGCGGTAATTCTAAATATGGTTTTGCAGAAAACTATTTGTGGGCTTCCTGTGGCGATATAAAATATAAACTTAAATTTTTTTTGTTTTTAAAGCAAAATCATTAAAACGTGTTTTGTGTAGACACACATGCCATTTCAAGTCGATAAATAATGTTACAAAATGCATATTTGGGCTAAGTTGGAGTTCTGCACGTTTTGGGTTCCCTGTGTAATCAAAATGGCGGCCATTTTGGCATCCTTGCAATTCCTGTAAAAACCATCGAGGAAAATGTAAAAAATGTCCAAAAGTTACAAAGTTTTGCATCCAAAAGATACTTCTAATGCTCCAAGCACAGTCACAGACTGGTCAAAGTGTATCATTTGCCAAAAATCTACAAATGAATCGCTTCGTTGTGCAACTAACAGCTTCAATTCATCAACTGCTGGCCATGGAGCAGGCTACAAGACAATTGCTGAAAATCTACAGGGCTTTGACAACATGGRAGCTTTGCCTGCATCTTTGAAATTATCAAGACTGAATGAAGGTAGTAGTGGAATAGAGGAAACATTGAAAAATCATGATGCTAAATGGCATGATTCATGTAGACTAAGGTATAATAGATCAAAACTGAACCGTGCATTAAAGAGAAAGGCCGAAAGTGATGTCAGTGATACTAGTGATGAAGCTCAAAGTGCCCCGAAGTATACTCGCAAAAGCAAACAACAAACACCWGTTAAAGATGTAGACTTGTGTTTCTTTTGCGGGCCTGAAGCGTTGCATAGCGTTTCAACTTTGCCCCTCGGACACTCGTGTCAGGAATTCAAGTTGCAGGACCAAAGGATTTTAGCCAAGCTCAGTAGTGGAGATTTAGTAGCACAAGAAGCAAAGTATCACCTGCAATGTCTAGTTTCCTTTTACAATAAAGCTCGCCAAGTCAAAACAGGCGAAGAAGAAGACAGACAAAGTTAATCATGGACTTGCCTTTGCAGGACTTGTAACGTACATCGAGGAGAGTTGCTCGGATGAGGACATTGCATATGCACCAGTGTTTAAGATGTCAGRCCTATCTAATATGTACAAGGAAAGATTGAAGCAGCTTGGAACTGTCACAACAGGGCGCATTCACTCAACAAGGCTGAAAAAGAGGATTCTAAGTTACTTTCCTGACCTAGTTGCAATTAACCAGCAACGTGAAGTTCTACTAATGCTTGATAAGGATGTTGGGCATGCTTTGGGGAAAGCATGCRAATATGATGCTGACAGCGATGCTGTCTATCTGTCTAGAGCAGCAACTATTGTCAGACGGGAGATGATGAAGACAAAAAACTCTTTCAATGGTTCTTTTGACACTGATTGCCAAGAAAAATCTGTACCTACTTCGCTTTTGGCTTTAGTGTCGATGCTACTGAATGGCCCAAATATCAAAACACAGTGCATTAACARTACACCAAACTCGGCTCTAACGATTTCCCAGTTGTTGATGTATAACAGTTCGATAAGACGAAGAGAAAACGTGAAGACTACAGAAACTAAAAGTCAAGTCAGGCACAGCCTACACCGTGAAACGCCCCTACCCATTTACCTTGGGCGAATGATCCATACAAAGACACGCAAACGCGAGCTCGTGGCACTCTTTTTAGTCTCGGATGATGCTTCACTTGAAAGATGATGTGATGAGAGGATATACGAAAGTAACTTTGCGAACAGTTGATACAGATGTTGTTGTATTAGCAATTACATCTGCTTCTAAACTTGACATCACAGAGCTGTGGGTTGCCTTTGGAACAGGGAAAGCATTCCGGTATATAGCAGCACATAGTCTTGCACAGATACTTGGCCCTTTTAGAAGTAAAGCCTTGCCTGTGTTCTACGCAATCACTGGGTGTGATAGCGTCTCCTTCTTTGCTGGAAGAGGAAAGAAGACAGCGTAGGATGTGTGGAATACCTTTGATGAAGTAACAGCTGTCTTTGATGAGCTAGCCTCAACGCCGCCAGTGATTAATGATGAATGTCTAGCCCAACTGGAACGATCTGTCATCTTGCTCTACGACCGCACCTCTAGTCTGACATGCATTAACCAAGCTCGAAAACAGCTTTTCTGTCAAAAAGCTAGAGGTATAGATTGCCTTTCACCGACACAAGCAGCACTAGTTCAGTATGTTAAGCGAGCCACCTACCAGGCTGGGCACTGTTGGTCTCAGATGCACAGCGCAGTTCCTGCACTTCCTTCACCACAAGACTGGTGCTGGATGAAGACAGAAGATGGATGGGCTACTAACTGGACAGACCTACCGGAAGCTACACAAGTATTCCGAGAACTGCTTCGTTGTGGCTGTACAAAGGGATGTAGTGGACGGTGTAAGTGTTTAAAAGCGGAATTGCCATGCACGGCACTTTGCAAATGTGATGGACGTTGCTGAAGCAATATCAAGGTAATAATATTACCCACCTCGATCTGGGACTCCTCAAATACTCTTTTATAGTGGAGAGCTGGCCATATATGTAATACTGTAGGCACCTGACCCCAGGAAAGATCCAACTTCAGGATGTCAACCATAGGTTGACGGGAAAGGTGTAACCCCATACTGCGGTTTGGGTTTTGATGTAACATAAGTTATTTTGTAAATAGAACATTTATATTGTAGGTACCTGACCCCAGGAAAGATCCAACTTCAGGATGTCAACTATAGGTTGACGGGAAAGGTGTAACCCCATACTGCGGTTTTGGTCCGGGTCTTGGTTTTGTAACTTTTTGTAAATATTGCATGMCTACTATAACCAAAAAATACACATATTCATTTGCGTTATCAGCTTCAGGGAATTTTGCTTCTGTCTGTAATAGTTAAGAGGAGGTGACTGTAATACATGGTGTTCACAAAACGTTCGAATCCTTGAAAAGGCACAATTACACAGGGAACCCAAGTTTTGGTATTTGCTCATTTTTTCATTTTGTAAATAATCTCATAATAATTRATAAAATACAAATTATGCAAAAATCCTATACTCAGCAATGTTTATGGTTGTAATTTCTAACTTTGCCCTTAAAATTGTGGCTTTAGCAACCTTCTATCAATACTTTTTAGTGATAAAGCAAAATTACACAGGAAGCCCAACCTGTGTTTTTACTAAATGTTCTCTAAATCCTTAATTTAAAAAATTATGGGATGGCACTCCTTCCAGAAATGTTTTTTAGGGTAAGTTCTGACTTTGTACCAAATTTCATGCTTTTGTCACAAAACGCACAATCTTTGCTCATATCTGCTGGACTATTAATAAAAGCTCGTGCGTAGGCTTCCATTAAGTGCTGATTATCTCGAAAACGAGCTCGGGACACCCTATTTTTCTTTCCAGATTTGGAATCAGCATTAAATTTCAATTCGGAAAATCGAAGTTTTAAAAAAGCTTAAATCAATTTCCAAAAGTAGGCAGTCACCTTAATCGGTGGCAAAGGTATTACATAGTATGAAAAGTTAGAAATTATTTGCGTGGTTTTGATTTTTATATATTTGACAAGCGAAAAGCACGTTTAATCTATAAATGAAACCACAGAACTCATGCCTGTTTGTGAACGAAAGCAAGTTTTTGTCTTCGCCGAAAGAAAACTTTRAAATTCATTTTTGATTGAAAGCTCTGAAAAGAACTGGCCTAAACTCAGGGGGAAAAATATGATTATACTACAAAAATAGTCATTCAGTTCCGGAAACAATTCATAGAAGGTAATTCATTGATGTTAACTAAGATTTCGTAAAAAAAGTCGACAAAAATGCGTAAACTCTCCATACGGCTGTGCGAAAGGTGGCCATTTTCTTAAAATATCGAGATGTCTTGGACTGTGGTTGTTTGTACATGTACTGATTTTATTACGACTTACACTTTGATCTTCTTTGTCTTCATTACGGCATTCACTACTAGATTACTAGAAAAGAGTAACTACAAGATGAACTCAGGAAAATAACGAGGCAGTTTTTTTAAACTATTATCCTCGATAAAGTTACAAGAATGATGTTTCAGTATGTTACTATATTGAAAGACTTCTCTGAGGACGAAATTGAAGACTAAAAGTGGATACTTCTGGGCCTAAATGTGTCAACAT